TTTAATAAACAATATCTTGTGATTCTTGGTATAACAGGATAACAAAGAGCATAGAATTATATACAGTCATTTTATTTTTTTGCATTATAAGTTATAATTAGAACAAAAAATCAGGCGCTGTATTCTAATTAATTGATCTGAGCATAACACCAATTTTGGAAAATGAGATATCTAGTATTTTCAAGTCTGCTTAATAACACGTCAATTAGCTAAAGACTCGTGATTCCTGGTGTAACAGGATAACAAAGAGCATAGAATTATATACAGTTATTTTATTTTTTTGCAATATAAGTTATAATTGGAACAAAAAATCAGGCGCCGTATTCTAATTAATTGATCTGAGCATAACACCAATTTTGGAAAATGAGATATCTAGTATTTTCAAGTCTGCTTAATACCACGTCAATTAGCTAAAGACTCTATAGTTAGAGTTCAATTAGGATTATATATTTTTAGAGGGAAATCAACTTTGTTTTTTATTTTGTTTCTTTCCATGTTAGGGAGAGCCAACTTTCCATTTATTTGAATTTATTATGTGTGTCGGCACAACATTCGCAAGAGCACTCGTGTAAAAAAGAAGACAATGATTTTGGTTCATATTCATAAAATACATTTGCTATTTTATTGCTTACAGTTTATATAATTTTGAATTATCTAGTTGCTTCATGTTGATGGGTATGACCTTTATCTTTTTCGTTTTCCTTTTCAGGCCAATCTTAATCACGCAATGAACATAGTTGCATATTTTGCTTCGGTTTCAGAACCAGCACACGTTCAAGGCAAAACAGTCTAGAAGACATGGTTTTCATTACTTACAAAAAATTGTTAACATGACACATATTTACTGACTACTTCACATTTTCCAGCTATATTTACTGTATCAAGTTGTTTTCTAAAAGATATGGTTCTATGAAAGTAGCTTTTGACAATCTTGTATGCTTTTCGGCTCTGTTTCATGTTGGTTTTGGATGCTGTGGAATATTGTGTGCGGTTGAAAATTGAGGGAAAGCCTGGAATAGTAGATGGGAGGTGAGCGTGTGCACTGTTGATTCAATCAATGGTGCCATTATCACTACGTGGTGGTGGTGTTGGGAGGAATTTGACGGGGAGAGGAGCCACAGTGTTGGAAAGGTGNCAATCAATGGTGCCATTATCACTACGTGGTGGTGGTGTTGGGAGGAATTTGACGGTGAGAGGAGCCACAGTGTTGGAAAGGTGGAAGAAAGTTTTTTATTTTTTCAAACTTACTAGAATACTTAGGTATATGCCACTTATTTGAAACTCACTGGAATACTTAAGTATATACTTCTTTTCAACGCTAGCATTACCTTCAAAATTACATTGCCCGTGTGTTGCACGGGCGACAAACTAGTATGAGTAAAAAGTTGATTTTTCTTTTAACTGTAAAATAAAAATGATTATTAGAAAATTTCCAGTTGAATCATTCTACAGTACCAAATGCAGTTACATAATTCTTGACATAATATCACATGACATTCAATTTTTCATCAAATCATTTACTATTACATCGGATTATGTACTGCATCGATTAAATTTCTTCTGATAAAGTAGCCAAAATCCAAATTTTCACTTGTCACGAATTTCAAGCCGTGTTGGTATTTTATTTAGCCCTTGTTTGATCTTCATTATTTTCAAAATATATTTTTCTATTTCTTCATTTTAATTGCAATTTTTTCAATAAATAATATTACAATCGTACCTAAAATGTTTCCCTATTTTTCAACTTCACATCCTTCTTCAATCCAACGTTCCAAAATGTATTCTAGGACTGCTTTTAATCTTAATCGCGGTAATTAGTGGCTATTATTACCCTAACCCCATCTACAAATACCTTGCCAACCTTCCCATTTCCCCTTCTTCTCTTTACGCCGACTATCTCACTATAGAATTCTCCGTCCTCTCTCGATAACAATCTCTACTGATGGAAACTATTCAGAGTGTTAAGGCCCGTCAGATCTTCGACAGCCGTGGTAACCCTACGGTCGAGGTTCGTACTTAACCCGATTTCTTTCTCATCTAATCTTTTTCTTTTTCAGTTTTCATCCATTTTCTATCCGATTTCAAGAAATCTATATTTGATTGAGAGTTTTATTTTTGGAAACTAAATTTCCTGTTTGTATTTTTAATTGTGTTTCAATTATGAGTTTGATTGGCGATGAGATTAAAGTGATTTTTTATTTGAAAATGACGTGATTGCATAAGTTTGTATATAAATTTATTTACAGGATTGTAGGAAATGTATTGTACACGAGTGATAATGGTTAGTTGATTATCTGTAGGTTGATGTGCATCTAAAGAATGGAACCTGGGCAAGAGCTGCTGTTCCTAGTGGTGCCTCCACTGGTAAGATCTGTTTCCTGCAAAACATGTGCACGCGCAGTTTGTCTTTATATTTTTTACAATCTTGCTACATGTACCTCAAGTTTGATATCGTGATGAGGTGACAACTTTTTATATTTTAACAACGCTCTAAGCTTAGATTTTGACACATCAAGTATGTCAACCTTAATGTACGCTTTGAATGTACATCTAGCATAATTGTATTTTTTTATTTTTCTGGATTGTTGTTTAGAGATAAAAAATCTCATGATATGAACTAAAATTTATAATAATATAAGGGCATTGGTAACGATGGTTTCAATTTTTCAGTTAATAAGATCAGCTATTTTTTTATTATTATTATTTTTTTTTTGGGACTTTTAATCACTCATTCAAAATATTGAAATTAATTTTCTGTCAACGTGTTTGGTTGAGATTCAGTTATAAGATTTGGTGACCTATATTTCATATTGTAGAAATAGGTAAAAATTTATCTTTCTGAGAGACACCCCAACAGAAAATACTCATATCCATGAGACTGATTTTACTTTTATTATAATACTTTATAGGAATTTATGAAGCCCTTGAATTGAGGGATGGAGGATCAGACTACCTTGGAAAGGGTGTCGCTAAGGCAAGTATTTGCAATGGTTGGTTAACTTTTTGTTTGTTGATTCAGTCCAAGAGATGTTATTTGCTGATTATTTATGCTTTTATTCTTATATAGGCTGTTAACAATGTCAACTCCATCATTGGTCCTGCTCTCATTGGCAAGGTTTGTTTCATCAAATTTCACGGGATTCTATTTCTGATTTGTATTCTTTCTTTTTTACCTTTGCACTGTAAATACCATTGTTTTTGGTCACCGCAAGAGGAAGCTCTTATCAGTTATGTAGTTGTACAGTTATTTTTTCTTCTTGTTTTATGGATGTTGAATGGTTTCTGCTTCTACAGGACCCAACTGATCAGACTGGTCTCGATAACTTCATGGTTCAACAACTTGATGGAACTCAGAATGAGTGGGGTTGGTGCAAGCAAAAGGTATGAATAATTATTGACACAAACTTTCCATTGTATATTCTGGTTAATATATTTACAAGCTTCATAACTGTGTTTCAGCTCGGTGCCAATGCCATATTGGCTGTCTCACTTGCTGTGTGCAAAGCTGGAGCTGCTGTCCTCAATATTCCCCTTTACAAGGTATTCACAGATCCTCTGTCTTCATTGAGCTCTGCACTTAATTTTTTAATCAAAATTGGCCTCTTTGATTTAATCTAGTCAAAAAGGTGTTCACATGACTTCAGGCATCTATTAAATGTCTTCCTGATAAATTTCATATTTTGTGTGCAGCACATTGCAAACCTAGCTGGTAACAAGAAGCTGGTGTTGCCAGTTCCTGCTTTTAATGTCATCAATGGTGGATCACATGCTGGAAACAAATTGGCCATGCAGGCAAGTCATCCAGCATAAAAGATGAACATATTTTGTTCGAATTTATTTTACTAAAATTGAGCTTTCCTTTTAAAATTCTTGTTGCAGGAATTTATGATTCTTCCTGTTGGAGCTTCTTCATTTAAGGAGGCTATGAAGATGGGTGTCGAAGTATATCATAATTTGAAGGTGGGTTATGACTTCTGAGTCTTTTTGTCCTTTTTACCCACTTGTTTTATTTCCTGGTCATTAATTTAGATATCTATAAATATTCTAACCCAGCATTAATCCACTATAATTGGACAGTGTAGACATTGTTTAAAAATGTCAGTAGGTCCTTAAATAATATGTTTCTTTGCATGGTTGCACTTGCACCACCTCTTTGTAGAAATTCCTTCCGAAATCTACCTGGCTGATTTCATTTCTGTATCATAATTCGTAAGTAGATTTTTTTAGCCCTGTTTAACAACCATTATTTTCAAATCTTTTTTCTACACATTTACACAATATAATATTCTACACATAAATCCAAAATGTTTTCCTACTTTTTAACCACACATTTTCCAAAAAAATTACCATTCAAAAACTCTATTTTCCACAAAAAAAGGTTGTCAAACAGGGGCTTAGTTTCATTTATGACTGCATTATCCTAAAGAATTCGGAGTTAGTATTTGTAGGGTCATCCTGATGTTAGATTAAATGTTCCCAAATTCCTCAAGTATATTGTGAACAGTGTTTCTTTTGCTTCTCAATTTTGATTATTAGCCATTTATCTTCATTGACTTCAGGCTGTTATTAAGAAGAAGTATGGCCAAGATGCTACCAATGTTGGTGATGAGGGTGGCTTCGCTCCTAACATTCAGGTTGAACATTGTATTTTGGTTGTACGATTATTTTCATCCTTCATTTTCAATAGATAATTCACAATATTATGTTTGTTCAATTTCAGGAGAACAAAGAAGGTCTTGAATTGCTCAAGACAGCCATTGCCAAAGCAGGTTATACAGGAAAAGTAAGTTCCACCTCTCCTTCCTTTTACCCGTATGCGTTAGTTCCTTCACTGTTCTATCATCACCTTGCAATTATTCTATCACGACCTTGTGAAAGAGTTAAACTTGTAAGCTTGCATCTTCCTTCTGCACAGGTTGTCATTGGAATGGATGTTGCTGCATCGGAATTTTATGGATCAGACAAGACTTATGATTTGAACTTCAAAGAAGAGGCAAGTTTCCACTATATGTTGCTTCTCTGTGTTATATAGATTATAAGAAGTGCATCGGAAAGCATCAGGGCACAGCATGGGAACTATAATGTCAGAACCTTTTATAACTGCTAAATTTTNTATAATTGGACAGTGTAGACATTGTTTAAAAATGTCAGTAGGTCCTTAAATAGATATGTTTCTTTGCATGGTTGCACTTGCACCACCCGTTTCTTTGTAGAAATTCCTTCCGAAATCTACCTGGCTGATTCATTTCTGTACCATAATTTGTAGGTAGATTTTTTTAGCCCTAGTTTGACAACCATTATTTTCAAACTCTTTTTTCTACATACTCATTTTCATCCACACATTCACGGTATATAATATTCTACACAAATCCAATTTAACCACACATTCTCCTAAAAATTACTATTCAAAACCCTATTTTCCACAAAAAAATGGTTGTCAAACAGCGGCTTAGTTTCATTTATGACTGCATTATCCTAAAGAATCCGGAGTTAGTATTTGTAGGGTCATCCTGATGTTAGGTTAAATGTTCCCAAATTCCTCAAGTATATTGTTAAAGAGTGTTTCTTTTGCTTCTCAATTTTGATTATTAGCCATTTATCTTCATTGACTTCAGGCTGTTATTAAGAAGAAGTATGGCCAAGATGCTACCAATGTTGGTGATGAAGGTGGCTTCGCTCCTAACATTCAGGTTGAGCATTGTATTTTGGTTGTACGAGTATTTTCATCCTTCAATTTCTTCAATAGATAATTATCAATATTATGTTTGTTCAATTTCAGGAGAACAAAGAAGGTCTTGAATTGCTCAAGACAGCCATTGCCAAAGCAGGTTATACAGGAAAAGTAAGTTTCACCTCTCCTTCCTTTTACCCGTATGCGTTAGTTCCTTCACTGTTCTATCATCACCTTGCAATTATTCTATCACGACCTTGTGAAAGAGTTAAACTTGTAAGCTTGCATTCTCCTTCTGCACAGGTTGTCATTGGAATGGATGTTGCTGCATCAGAATTTTATGGATCAGACAAGACTTATGATTTGAACTTCAAAGAAGAGGCAAGTTTCCACTATCTGTTTCTTCTCTGTGTTATATAGATTATAAGAAGTGCATCAGAAAGCACTATGGCACAGCATGGGAACTATAATGTGGGAACCTTTTATAACTGCTAAATTTTATCACTTTTACTATGTCTTTGCAGAACAACGATGGCTCGCAAAAAATTTCAGGTGACCAGCTCAAAGATCTCTACAAATCCTTTGTTTCTGAGTATCCAATTGTATCCATTGAAGATCCCTTCGATCAAGATGACTGGGAGCACTATGCCAAGCTAACTGATGAAATTGGAGCTCAAGTACAGATTGTGGGAGATGATCTCTTGGTCACCAATCCCAAGGTTTATAATTTTCTGAATGAATAACCTATGTGGCTCCTGAGATATGGTTTATTGCCCAATACACAGTATAATTGCTATTTTCTAACTTCTTCTCGTTGTTTAGAGAGTTGAGAAGGCAATCAATGAGAATACTTGTAATGCTCTTCTTCTCAAGGTATCAAAATATTAGTTGTGTCCAGTGCTTGGCTCTTTTTTCTTCGCATATTTTAAAATGTAACCACAACATTCTCCTTGGCTAACAGGTAAACCAAATTGGATCTGTGACTGAGAGTATTGAAGCTGTAAAAATGTCCAAGAAAGCTGGTTGGGGTGTGATGGCCAGTCACCGCAGGTATGAAATTTACATGTGTGATACAAGATATGTTTTGGAGAATAGAACTTATTTTACAGTTGTTTGTGCCATTATATGCAGTGGAGAGACTGAAGACACTTTCATTGCTGATCTCTCCGTTGGTTTGGCAACGGTAATCTTCTTTCAGTGTGGTAAAAATCTTTTTGGTAGGTTCTCCTTTGTAAATTCAAGTATTTATCTGTTTGTTGCTGAATGTTATGCCAGGGACAAATTAAGACCGGAGCTCCATGCAGGTCAGAACGTCTTGCAAAATACAACCAGGTAAAACAGTGACTGCTTGCCATGCATCAATTATCTAAATCAAATTATGAGCCATTCTGATGGTCCTTTGTTGTCTTTAGCTATTGAGGATTGAAGAGGAACTTGGATCAGAGGCTGTGTATGCAGGAGCAAGCTTCCGTGCACCCGTTGAGCCCTACTAGATTTGACCGACCTGCAGTATGGGGCCTCACTTTAGGCAAATAAATGCGTACCTGCTTTTGAATAACCAAAAAAGTTTTGTAAGGATATTTAGCGAGTGCTGAACTAAGAAACGGTTTAAAGGCTGAGCATCAAAGTTCTCCTCTCTTTTTTGTAAGGGCATTTTACTATCGCTAAATAGTAATATTATAATGAATTCCTATTTTGTTTAGCTAAAAATTATATTTTTAATAGATTTTGGTAAATATTGATGTAGTGTGTAGTTGAAAAATTAACAAAAGTTGTGGATTTTATTAAATGTATAATTGAAAAATGAGTTTAAAAACGTGAGTTAAACAAGGGCTAAATTCAAAATTAATACAAAAACAACGATAAAGAACTATAATTCAAAGGTATGATAAACTTTTTTCTAGTAAAATATAGGATGGATCTTAATCCTTTTTAAGGGAAAATAGCAGTGTTATAAAAAGCGTAAAGCGTGACTAGGCGTGGAAGTCAAACTTCAAGCTTTACGAGCCTAGGCGAAAATTAGGCGTAAAAAAATGTTTTTTATTTTTAATTTTTAATCAATATAAAAAAATTCAATAATTCAAATAATACATACCAAATATCTAAAATTATAAAATACCGTATTTACTTAATAATTCATACATAAAGATANATAAAGAACTATAATTCAAAGGTATAATAAACTTTTTTCTAGTAAAATATAGGATGGATCTTAATCCTTTTTAAGGGAAAATAGCAGTGTTATAAAAAGCGTAAAGCGTGGCTAGGCGTGGAAGCCAAACTTCAAGCTTTACGAGCCTAGGCGAAAATTAGGCGTAAAAAATGTTTTTTATTTTTAATTTTTAATCAATATAAAAAAATTCAATAATTCAAATAATACGTACCAAATATCTAAAATTATAAAATACCGTATTTACTTAATAATTCATACATAAAGATA